AAGTCAATCTGTCAGTCAGAATCTTCAATCATCTAACTCCAAAAAACAACAAATTTTATTTGAAGCAAAGGGATTTAAAGCTAAGAACGGCTATCAGTACTGCTGGATGAAGAACTCGGCTGTTTACTTAATTGAGATTACAGAATTCATACAATGTACCTTCAAGCTATGTAAAATGAAATGTTTGTCTCATATATACCATAATAACGAAAGATGCATGGAAACGATAAGACAAATATTCAACTGTCCAAGTCACTATTATGTGAACTGCCCATTTTATAATGTTAATAACTATGTTTATACCAAAGTTGGAAACGTTTTTAAATGGCAAAAGTTTTCAAAGTCTATGTTAAATGAATCCCACGAAAAAATGACTGTGCAATTTATTTGAATCATACCTGGAGGTGTACATTATTAGGGTGATGCGGTTTCGTAAAATAACCGAAACCGAGAATCGTCACAAAATAACCAACTCTTTTAATCAATTAAATTATTTTGACAAAAATAAACAACATGTCTTGTGTGTTATCCATGTGACGTCTTCACAGATGTCCACCTTTCTCTTAGCTAATCAAACCGGAAACTTTAAGCTTGTTTTGATCCGCTTTTAATCCGCCATTTGAGTCGCAGCGCTTTTCTAGGCTTCTAGCATTGATTTAAATCGCGTAATCACCAAAGAGTATAACGTAGCTTGCTTATAGTTTTATGTTGATCACATGTAGCACACTTGTTTGTCTTTTTATTTTGAATTTTATATTTTGAATTTTATATTTTGAATCGGTTTTTCAGTTAGTCGGTTATCTGATATTTAGAAGACTCGTGAAACCGATCTGTAAAAATAACCGATTCATCTCGGTTAACCGAATAACCGCATCACCCTATACATTATGATGTTGTACTGGAAGTAAACTTGATTCAAGTTCTTCAAATGAACTATACAATGCCAAAGGACTTGGGAAAAGAATTCACTGCATTGATTTAAGTGATGAATGTAATCATCAGCCTATAATTAAAAGAAAGAAATTGGATACTGTATGCAAAAGAACATGTGAAATTGACAAACCTGAAAAGTCTAAATTTAATGTTAAAACTGAACATATTTCTGTAAATGATGATAGCATTAAAACTTGTGATTTTTTTTTAAGGATGAGGGGCTAATTGAGATGGAAAATGTCTCAAAGTTTCATAAGTCAATGGAATATGTTTTAAGACAATGTCATATTTGTTTTGAAGCACGTAAAATCTAAGAAAAAAGTCCACATGTATGCCATAGGTGTTTATTAGACAAAATGAATCCCAAAAAGTTTTCATTTCAAAATTCAATGATCCCCTCTATTGTTCCGGGAGAATTACAGAGCTTAACTCAATTGAAGAAATGCTTATTGCACGAGCATTACCAATTATGAAAGTGTATATCAAACCAGGTGGTCAAAAAGGTTATTCTGGACATTGTATTAACATGCTGCAACAAGTAACTGAATTAGCCAATACACCCCCGAGATTTCCAAAAGATATTTCGTTTATTTTGGTTACCATGAAAGGTAAAAATAACACATTCACAGACCTTCCAACTTTGTGGCATGAAAATGAGTGAGATTTAGTTATTTCCTGTAATCTGAGTCATATAGCCCGCCGACGGCGGCCGTTGGCAGGCGTTGACCTAGGGGGGTTCGGGGGCATGCCCCCCTGGAAAATTTTTAAATCTGGAGTCTCTGAAATGCCATTTCCTGCATTTTGGGAGAAGATTAACAGAATTCTAAAGGTACAAAAATGGCATTAAAAAATCTCAAAAGTAACACTTTTTGGACATCTGCATGCAATTATAAGTTTCATTTATTTTTTATTTAGTTAATATTGTTTAAAAAGTAAAAGTCATTCTAAATTTAAATGTTAATGAGTTATAGCTTGCGCGTATGTGCTTTGTTGTATTCGTAAGTAGCAGATTTAGCTGCTTTTAATGCGTTATCATGGAAATCCCTCATTAAACTAAGTGTCAATTTACTAATTTGTGCAATAGTGCAACTTACCCAATACTATACGTTACACCGGCAGCAACTGCTCGAAAAATACTTTATTTTATATCTATTGATTCAGTTAAATAGGAATATTTGCTTGCCAAGAGAAGCGTTAAAACAAAAGTTGGATCGCTTCCTATTTTTTCGCTTTTGCATGAGAAAATAGTGTTTATGCGTGTGAGCGTGAGAAATATGTCAAATGCATGTGTCTCACGCAAAATGCATGAGAGTTGGAAGGCCTGAATTCAAAGATGTTATTGTTCGAAAAGCAAAGGTTGAACAAGCATTGTGGTTGTTAAAACATAATCCCCAGTATCGGAATGTTTATACATAATACAAAAAATAATCTTTCCTCTGATGATAATGAAAGAAATGAAGATGACGTTAATGATGATGATGATACTGTATACAATAGGAACACTGCAACAAGTAGCTTTCTTCCCGAATCTAAGAACGAAAGTCTTGAAATAGATGCAATTCACAAAAACCTGAGATCTTGTAAAATTTGAATGACCATCAATTGGCCATCAATTCATCAAAATGGTCATCAATTGATCATGAACCACTTAATGAATATTCTATGCCATTTCTTGCAACTTTGGCATTCCCAACATTATTTCCAAATGGTATTGGTGACCCTACAAATCCATCACTAGAAAAAGATATAAGTTTTGGTAGTAGAATACAGCACTGGATTAAATTTGCTGAAAATATTGATGGGAAGTGGGTTTATCATTTTGCATCACTTCCCAGATTCACTTATTGGGCATTAAACATGATTCAAAGGAAAAGAACATTGCAACAAAGTAGTATTTACAAGAAGCAAAATCCAAATGAAGCACATTTAAGCATGGATGAATTACGAAATATGGCTGCAAGTAATGGCTCACATTTTATGTCAAAACTTTCAAGATATGTTGCTAACTTCACTGGTAGGCCTGGTAGTAATGCTTACTGGTATAGAGTGCATGAAGATTTAAAAGCCATTATAGCTTATAAAGAGGCACCTACAATTTTTTTACATTTTTGTCCGCTGATATGCATTGGCCACAACTGCATTCCCTTTTTGATGAAAACTGCCACAATCCCACTATTCAAGAAAGAAGGAAGAATGTCATTGACAATCCTCATTTAGTTGACTGTTTTTTTACCAAATGCATTGACAGTTTCTTGAAATATTGGTTGTATGACACTCTTAATGCTGAGTGGCATTGGTATAGGTATGAATTTCAGGCTAGGGGTAGTATTCATTGTCATGGTATGGCAACATTGAAAAATGATCCCGGTTTGTGCAGGCTTGGAGAAATAGCACTTAGTCTTTTTAGCAGAGAAAGATAACACCAGTATAAAGAGCTTGGATATCTTGCATGACATTGAGAGAGGTAAAATAGCATCACAACAAATTGCTAATTATGCAGATTCCTTGATTTCAACTTTTAATCCAATTCCCCCAGAAAACAAATTATGGACAAAAGCACAAACTCATCCATGTAGTAAAAAACACGGGCATATTAAAGATCACAAATCTGACTATGTTGATCTTCTAAACACAGTACACATGACAGGATGAGCCCGGACTAAGTGTGTAATTTTACGCCCGTGGTTTCATGGGATATCTACCTCACATTCTGAGGTAGATATCCTAGCGTGCATTGCGTGTTGTTGTTGCTATCACCTCACAGAATTTCTCTATTTGCTGTTTCTATTCTATATATCTGAGTATTTGAATACATATAGTCCGTTTAGTTAAATCAAATATTAAAAAACTCATTAATAATTCAGGAGCAAAACACAAAGAAAAATCATAAGCGTGTCGTGGTCTCGTGGTTTTAAGTGTGATAAAAAATCATGTTAATTTACATAAACTTTAGCTTTGATTTTCTCGGTTTAGACAAAGTTTATTTTAAAAATTACTTCGCCAATGAACTCGTATAAGGGCAAAATTCGTCTCGCGCAGATACGGACTATACACAATTCTGTTAAATATTAATAATAATAACAACAGTCAGTTTGAGCGAAGGCAAAATGCATCTCACGCAAATACGGCCTTTTGACCATTTAGTTAAATAATAATAATAATGACAATAATAACAAGAGTTAGTTTGAGCGAAGGGCATGACTGTCACGTAAATACGGCCTTGTGACAGTTTAGTTCAATAATCCCAATAACAACAGTTAGTTTGAGCAAAGGGCAAAATGCGTCGTCTCACGCAAATACGGCCCTTTCATTTTCATAATAATAATAACAACAGTCAGTTACAGCGAAGGGCAAAATGCGTCTCATGGAAATACGGCCCTTAGACCATTTAGTGAAATAATAATAACAACAGTCAGTTTAAGCCAACGGCAAAATGTTTAGGTAAGTCGCCTAACGCAAATACCTACAGTCAATTTAGTTGAATAATCACGAGAGTTCATTTGACCGAAGGGCAAAATATTCGCGACGACAAGCGTATGTGAAACAGGAAACTACTTCTGTTGCCACGGAAACGGCAGAGTCATTAACCAATCATAGCAAATGAAGCGTTGACCCATCCCATATCATATTGCTGGCGAAAATTACACACTTAGTCCGGGCGCGTGTTCTAATGACAACACACAAAATGCAGCCCAAAGTATTGTCTAAAAGAGATGAACGGAAGTAAAGAGCTAAGTTGTCACTTTAATTACTCTTTAGAATGCTGTGAAAAAACTATGGTTGACTTTGAACCCATACATAAAGGATAAATCCATTCAGTACAGATTAAAAGTAAAAACCAAAAGGAATGATTCAAGATTGAATAATCATCAGCCCGTGCAACTTAAAGGGTGGCGTGCAAATTGTGACATACAGGTTATAATTGATCATCATGCTTGTGTGGAATACCTTTCTAAATATGCTGTTAAAGTCGAACCAAGATCACCAATGTTGAAAGACACTTTAAATTCTGTTATAAACCATGTTGGCCTCTTCTCCATCGGGTAAAGTCATAAAAAAAACTCATGATGAAATCTATTGGTGAAAGAGATTTTAGTGTGCAAGAAACAATGCACTTACTGAGCCAGCACTCTCACTTAACTTACAAATTACTACCCATAAACTTAAATGGTTCTCTCAAAATTGAAACAAACTTAAGATGTATCCAAGATTCTATGTTAGATATTTACGGTAAACGTGAAGTACATCAAAATAACTCACCAGATATAATGAAAATGAACTCTGTAACCTTTGCTGCAAATTATAAAGTTAGTAAAGGGAAACTGATTAAACAATCGACTAATGTAGTACCCAGAATTTTCCCAAACTACTCTCCTAACCCAAGTGGAGATAATTATGGTTTATATTGTAGATATCAGCTTCTGAAATATAAGCCTTGCAGTGGTTCACAAAATGACGCTTCGAATAGCGATTCACCAGATAACGATTTGTTTATCAATGCATGGTGCAATTTTTTGCATTCCCCTTTTGCAAAAGCCAATGTCCCAGAATGGGGAAAAAATCACAATGCATTAGAGAATTACAATCAAAGTAAAAGTGGGTTTGAAACTGTAGAAAAAGATGATTCTCAAGAACAATGGATGATAATTTCAGATATACATAGCTCCCTTGAACAACTAAGCAAGAAACAGATTTTTCATGATTGGAAAGAAGGAAGTTTGAATTATTCTCAACAACAACTAGGTGAAATGCTTAAATGGATTAAAACAACAAAGGAAGCATCAAAAGTAAGCCATAGTGACAGTAAACAAATTGATGTGTCCACTTTTAGTTCTGAGCAAAAACTCTCATAATATAGTAAGGAGTCATTTTAATAGTGTTGATGCCAAAGAACCTTTATTGTTAATTATTATTAATGGCATTGGTGGCACTGGTAAAAGCTACTTGATTGATGCTATTCGCGATTTTCTGGGTGCTAAATGTGCTATTACTGCTTCAACTGGTAAAGCAGCCTTTTAATGTTAAGGGAGTTGTATACTGTTGAAACTGCCTATTAGAAATTCATCTCAAAATGATTAACAGGTCAAGCTCTGGCAAGCTTTCAAGAAACACTTTCTGGAGTCGATTATATTGTGATTGATGCATCAGTACTCCATGATAGGTCAAACAACACTTGGATGGATTGACAGACACTGTAGGCAAAGCACTGGTAGAAATAGTCAAGTATTTGGTGGGAAATCGATAATACTTACTGGAGATCCTGGTCAGTTGCCCCCTGTTTGTGATAAACAATTATACCACTCTAAACCATCTTCTGCAGTAGGCGAACAAGGATATTATGCATACAATGTGTTTGATAAAGTGGTTATGCTTACAATGAACCAGAGAGTTAAAGGTTCAAACACTTCACAAAGTATGTTTAGAAATTTGTTGCTTCGTCTTCGTGATGGTAAATCTAGCAAAGAGGACTGGAAACAATTATTGACTAGACAACCATCTCATGTTGCTAACATAGATTGTTTTCAAGATTCCACAAGATTGTTTTATAGTAACGAAGAAGTTGCTAAATTTAATTATGACCATTATTTACTAGATCTTAAACAGCCAATTGCTCAAGTAAATGCTAGGCATTCAACTAACAAAGCAAAGGGGATAAACTCTCAAGATATGCACGGATTACAACCAACATTGCTTATTTGTAAGAAGGCGCGAGTCATGTTAACAATGAATTTGTGGCCATCTGCAGGCTTGTGCAATGGTGCAACTGGATATATCGAAGACATAATTTACGCTCAAAATCAAGAACCTCCTCTTTTACCTATTGCTGTTGTTGTAAAATTTGACAACCAATGCCATTTGATCGACTAAACTCCATTAAGAAATCCGAGACTCTCCATTACAGATTAATAGAAGAAAAACATTTAGAAAACATTGCAAAAAACATGATTGTCAAGTTCTAATTGTGTGGATAAGATTTTGAGTTTCTTTTCGTTTTACATACACATGTACCCTGTACTTTAGTACTTTTCATTTTACATGTGCCCTGCATATTCAATAGTAGCATATAATTCTTATTTCTTAGATAATTTACACATAGGCAGTATTGATGGATTTCCACTTTCTAGATGAACGGTATTGTGACATTGATTGAATAAAATGTAAGGCTGATAATTTTTTAAATTATCCAACAGATACAAAGACATGGAAGCACCTAGCGATGAAGGTAAGCATTAAAATTAAGTTACTTTCAATTAAACGCGGACTGGGCTATAGGAGGATACCTCCGGTGGACTGGGCTATAGGGGGATACCTCAGGTGGGGCAACTGTAACCGAAAGATGTTACTTTATGACTGAGTGTTGGCCTTTTTGGTACCCAAAGAAAGAGTTTTCAGAAACAACACCCAAGGTAAACACTTCCAATCTTTTTAGAAACAACAGTGGTGGCATATCTTCATGATCTGTCCGGGATAAAAACTAGCCAGCATTACAATTCCTACTTCGACTTAAAGCTTCAAATGCAAGACAAGACCTATAGAACAGTGTGTTTTCACCTGAGAAGCATTCGAAATGCAAGGCAAATTTTGAATCCTCATCACCTGTCAAGATATCGAAGTTTGTGATCAAAAGAAACAAAATGACTCATGAAGACGAAATTCATATCAATAAAAGGACCAAGCTAGAGGACCCCACAGACAAAGAGATAGCGTTTGACATTAAAACACAACCAAAAATTAAAAAAAATCTAGAATCGTGTCATGTGGATGGTTTACTTATTTGGGAAACCAATTGACTTCTTAACACCAGTGGCAGAATAACATTAACTGGACCACAAGAGACAATCCAATCAAAGGGGAAAACCCTCAAAAAGCAAGAAGCTGTGTTGACAGACAATACAGGATCAATTCGCCTTGTGCTATGGGAAGGAGATATAAAGAAGATTATCAGTGGCTGCTTCTATAACCTGAGCAATATTGCAGTCAAGACATATCAAGATGTAAAATATGCCACTCTAAACGCGAAGTCTTCGGTTGAAATTGCTGATGCAATTATCGACAGGGAGGATGAAATCGCAGTGGAATCTAACTGCACAGTGTCTTCTGTCCAGCTGATGGAGTAAAATCTATCAACAGATACCTATCCTACAAATGCCATGTGAAAATTGTTCCTATCCCCGGCAAGAAGTTGATTAAGTGTAGCGAATGTGGTCTAGGCCAACTGAGAAGCAAATGCAGCTGCTGGATCTATGCCAACGTCCTCTTCTCCAAGCCTGGTGAAGAAATTCAGCTAATTAATACTCTTTGACGACAAGTTAACCGAGTTATATAACATTTACCAGGAGTCCAATGATGATGCCACAGTGCAATTTTGTGACCTCAGTGATGATGACATTATGGAATTTATTTGAGCGTAGCTGCTCGAATTTATTATAACAACAAAAAAATTGTTGTTTCAGTTACAAAAATGTAATGACAGTTTTTAGTTTATGTGGTTTATCACTTCTGTTCTGTGAGAGATAGTCAAATGTTTAAAATATGATGAACTATAAAGTTTAAAGTTGTTGAGGTGGGATTGTTATAGAATATATGTGGTTGAGTTGAGACATTGTTAGAACATATTGATGTTCTTTTTCAATAGTGTTGTTTCATTAAAAAAGCATATTAACATAACGTTGTACCCTCATTTTTAGTTTTGTCATTTTTGACTCACGGTATAATATAGTATCATATACTAGCAAATAGTATCACATAGATGTAAATCATGTTCAATATTCGCATAAAGTCGTCCAGTTTCAATTGGTCACTTATGAGCAGATATCCTAAACCTAGTTGGCACTGCTTGGCGAGATAAATAGCTTTCAAATTCTATACCAGGTTTTACAAGTTTGAAAACTTGCAATTTACTAAGTTGTTGAATCGGATCTTTCCAGATGATAATAACAAAACAAAAAGTGTAAACAATATTTAAGGTGGCATAATTATTATTATTATTATTATTATTAAGAGCTTTACTAGCATGACCTTAACTAATTATAGGTATTGCTAAAGTACATTACATAGTAAAGATTATAAGAGTGACAATAACATAAACAAATGATGCATGACTACGGAGTAGTTCATATACCTAATAGTTTGTTTTCGTGAATAGATAATTGAGTAACACCACATGCTATTGGTTTTGTGTCTTAAGGCATTTGTCTCTGACTTTAAAACATTTTGCAATAAAATTTGAAAATAGATTTGTTAATACTGGGTCTGTGTTTGAAATTATATGTCTGAACAAATCTTCTCTTGAATCTCTAGGTAGATTAATTTGAAAGAAACTTTGTCCCCGAGCCGACGGCACGAAGCACCGTGCGAGGGTACTAATTCTGCCCGGCTATTTACACCCGGGGAAAGGAACGCACTAGCCAAGTCTAAAGTTCAGCAAATATCGTGGGCGCATGGCTCACCGTTCATGGTTCATGGGTGGTCATCCTCACTGATCTCAAAATATGTAGCAGACTGTCGTGAATAGTAAACACTGATTGGTCAAATTGAAATTTGCATCATAATGACTGCATTGACGACAGGAAAATAAAGAACATTTATTATGCAAGTTGTATTTTTGCAAGATTTTGTAAATTTCAAAACCGTTCTGAGAGCCAAAAAAGTCTAAAAAACATCTAAGAGAATAGAGCAAAGTCGCCAACATTAACGAAGGTAAGTTTGTTTTAAATATTGATGTACTGTTTGTTTTATAATTGATATATTTATAACTGATAGTGGTGGGCGATACTGCGAATATCGAACTGATAGTTATAGTGATACTATATCATTGTGTATATAAGTGAAAAAAGACAGCATATAATTGCAGTGTAGTTTTATTAATTACCCTTTCTTTTGTATATTAAAGTATTTAAATAAAGAGGAAAGCAAAGTTATTTTCATGTGAGAATTTGAAATCAGTTTGTTTCAAACTCAATGTTTACCAATAATTCGAAGGCCGATTAGTTTTAAGAACATTTTAAAACGTTTTGCGAAGCATTTGTGGTTGAATTTTACATTAAATTGAAGCTTATATTACATATAATAACATACCTAGCATATATCTGTTTGGGAAATTGATAATTTTGTTATTAAAAGTGATATTTTGCGGGGATTTTTCAATTTCAAAACTATTCTTAAAATTATCGTGTTACCATGACAACTACTTTCAATTCTTCATATTCAGAAAACATAATGTCTTGTCAGTAAGGCAAGGGTTTTTGCATGCATGTATTTTCTAGTAGTATATTATTAGAGTTGTTTCTTATATTTTCATATTTTTGACATTCAAAAGCAAAGTGAAATTCATCTTCGATGGAGTTCAGATGGCAATGTCTGCATATTCTTTCGGTATTTGTTGGTATCGACCATATTCAATTAGTAATTTGTGATAACTTATCCAGAGTTTTGTGTAAAGTCGTCTTTGACATGGGTTTTTTATTGTGGTTAGATATTCTTCCAATTTATATTCTTTTTTAAATGCAGTTAAATGCAATTTAACTAAGTTAACAACAAAGAGCGCAGTTAGTGTGTTAGTATGGTCAGTGATTTCTGGCATACCAGCATGCACATGGCGATAGTAGGTCAGCGGCTGTTAGTGTTTGAGCATGCGCAAACAACAGGCACGCATTGTTCGGAAATCCTTCTAGGCTTGGGTGCTTATTATCGGAAAGTTCGTATTTTTTATTCATTTATTCGGTTTTTGCGTGTTTTTTTCTGGGTCGATTGAGTGTGGTTCAAAGAGTATTGTTAGTGTTAGTGTTGAGTGTTTTTCGTGTCACGTGGGAACAGGATTCTCGAGAGCTATCAAAGGAAAGTATGGCTTGTCGTTCCACAAACAACAGCATGTCTGCCATGATGGCGGTTGCAGATGAAAATTCCATCACACAAGAAAGCTCGCCGACATCGATTTCCAAGCCTACTCAGCCTGTATCAAGTCAAAATTTGTCATCGACAACTGCTGGGGAACTGCCACAGGATAATCCAGCCTTAACCCAGGCATTTTCCCGAACATTAGAGGAATCCTTGCCTGGCATTTTCACGGCGGTGAGGGAAAAAGTTGGCAGAAGTCCAAGTTCATCCACACACGGTCTTGTCAGTGCAGCAACAAATCTTGGCGCATCGCCTTCAACATCGTACAACCTCTCAGGGCCTCCCACATCTACAGGTAACCTTACTGTACCGTCATTTATATCTACATATTGCACGTTAGACAACGCACAGCCACATGTTGCGGCTTCTACCCCTCCGTTTGTGTCTCAGCCACCGCATCATGGTGGTCTAGTTAGGCCCTCTTGGATGGGGGGTGGCGACAGCACATCCTTAGATTGTCTGCCCTCCAGTTTGACCTTACCAACAGGGAGTCTTTTACCTTTGCCCTAGCAAAGGCGTTTGTGGTTGGTCCAGGGTATGCACCAGTTCCGAACAAATTGGTAACTAAAATTACGGCAGGCATGTTTATTGAACTAGCCGATTTGTTAGCTGAGAACATTAAAGCCCAAGAAATTGAACGCCAGGCTTTCCTAGAGGGAAGATTGCTAGTGTCCAGTTCTAAAAAGCGGGTGGTGGAAGTAACAGACATTTTGTCTTGGATAGAAGCTTTCACCATTTACTCCTTGATACTGTGCCAGTCTTACCCAGCAAGATGGACAGATTTGAGTCAGTACAAGTTGCTGATTATTCAGACAGCAAAACGTTTTCCTGGTCTTGCATGGCTGCATTATGATGGGGCATTCCGGAAGGAAGCAGCAGCTACTGGTCTGAACTAGTATTGAACTAGCCGATTTGTTAGCTGAGAACATTAAAGCCCAAGAAATTGAACGCCAGGCTTTCCTAGAGGGAAGATTGCTAGTGTCCAGTTCTAAAAAGCGGGTGGTGGAAATAACAGACATTTTGTCTTGGATAGAAGCTTTCACCATTTACTCCTTGATACTGTGCCAGTCTTACCCAGCAAGATGGACAGATTTGAGTCAGTACAAGTTGCTGATTATTCAGACAGCAAAACGTTTTCCTGGTCTTGCATGGCTGCATTATGATGGGGCATTCCGGAAGGAAGCAGCAGCTACTGGTCTTACCGACTGGTCTCGAATGAACCTAGACCTATATAACTTTCATACCAGAGCTGTTTGCATAGAATCGACCACAACCCCCCAACCAACCCCACTTCACCAATCCTCAACGGAGACCTCAGGGCCATCAGTGAAGGGTCAGAACCGTCAGAGGGCATCATCTTTAAATCCTGGAAAAAAAAGGAGTAAGTTTCCTACTGTTGCCCCATTGGGCTCCATTACCGGATTTTCAGATTTCATCCGACGCCTGCGTACTCTTGGCTATGGAGCTATTTTCATGTCGCACTGGTTTTCAGGTTCATGGTCAGACACCCAAATCCATTTGTCCATTGCATATAAGGAACTGTTCCCTATTGCCATTGCAGCGAGCCTTTGGGGACACCTATGGGTATCCAGACAGGTAGAATTTCGGTCAGACAACACTTCTGTTGTAGAAGTGCTACGAGCAGGCACATCCAGAGACCAACATCTGATGGTTTTACTCCGGTACCTCCTACTCATGGCTGCAAGGCATTCCTTTACATTTACCGCATCACATGTTCCGGGTAAGTTAAATCCTATTGCTGACTCCCTTTCCCGGTTTCAATTTCAGCGTTTTCGACAACTGGCTCCTCAAGTAGATCTGGTGGCAACAGCAATTCCTCAAGCCCTGCTCAACGATCTGACCAAGGTTTGACAGAAAAATGTTGCTACTATATGACTCAGGGTTTGGCACCATCTACCCGTAGAGTATATTCTTCAGCCCAGCGATGCTTCCTGGACTTCTGTATTCAGGACAACCGTGTCAGGCCAAATGGTTCTATTTTACCTACCAGTCAAGAAACATTGATGCGTTTCTGCTCTCACCTAGCTGATAGTCTACACCATACATCAATAAAGGTATACCTATCGGGCATACGTTCTCTCCACATTGATGAGGGATATCCAGACCCATTAGCAGACTGCCTACAACTACAACGGCTCCTTCGGGGTATTAAACGTTGCCAAGGTTCAAATCTAGTGAAACGTCGTCCAATAACTGGGGAACTTATGCAGGTCATTTACAACTCATTGGATATGTCTGAGTATAACCAGGTCATGTTATGGGCAGCTTGTTGCCTGGGTTTCTTTGGTTTCCTGCATGCGGGTGAATTTACAGTCAACAGTCCTTTTGATCCCAAGTTTCACCTTATCCCACAAGACCTACAGGTCGATTCATTAGTGGACCCCAAAAGTATAAAGGTTTTTGTGAAGTGTTCCAAAACAGATCCCTTTTGGCAGGGATACTTTATTTATCTTGGCAAGAACAGTTCCTCCATGTGTCCAGTCAAACCTATAATAAGATATCTGCACTTGAGGGGTCCAGGAGCAGGCCCTTTGTTCACAAATAGAGATGGTAGTCCTCTAACACGGAGGGCAGTGTCTGCCTCAATACAATCCATTCTCCAAACAGCTGGCATCCCTGGACAGTTTTCTGGACATAGCTTCCGCATTGGAGCAGCAGCTACAGCAGCAGAAAAAGGAGTTCCAGATCATATGATAAAGATGTTGGGAAGATGGTCCAGTGATGCCTATCAGAGATACATCAGGACTCCAGTTCATACTATACGTCAGGTGTCGGAAAGGTTGACGTAACTGGGTAAGTTGTTTTACTGTATCTACAGTGATAGTTGTGCAGTACTATAGTAGATACCAGTTGTGCAGTAATATAACTAGCCTGATGGTTGCTAGTGTATTGTGGTTTAAAGTGACCAGTGGTGTAGTCTTTTAGTAACCTTATGGTTGCTAGTGTATCAATGGTTTTTAAGGTAACCAGTTGCGTAGTAATATAGTAGCCTTATGGTTGCTAGTATGTCAATGGTTTTAAGGTAACCAGTGGCGTAGTAATATAGTAGCCTTATGGTTGCTTGTGTATCGATGGTTTTTAAGGCGACCAGTTGCGTAGTAATATAGTAGCCTTATGGTTGCTAGTGTATCAATGGTTTTTAAGGTAACCAGTTGCATAGTAATATAGTAGCCTTATGGTTGCTAGTGTATCAATGGTTTTTAAGGTAACTAGTTGCATAGTAATATAGTAGCCTTATGGTTGCTAGTGTATCAATGGTTTTTAAGGTAACCAGTTGCATAGTAATATAGTACCCCTATGGTTGCTGGTGTGTCAAGGGTTCTTAGGATAACCAGTTGTGCAAGTATTTTCGGAGCCTTGTGGTTGCTAGGGTATCAATAGTGTTTAATTAAAGTAACCAGTTGGGCTGTAATGGTGCATTGACAAAATATTAGGTCACTTTCCAGTTAACAAGCAGGTGGTAATTTTGTACCGTGGTTTTCGGGTGGCTCGGGTTTGGATCATGCAATGGGGCTCTGGTGTCCTCCAGCCATGAGCCCCAATTCTCCAGCCTGACTGGTCGTCAGTTGAGGTCCCTTCGGCATGGTGTGGGGGGCTCATGGCTGGGTTGCAGGGAACCGCAAGCCATGAGAGTGGTATGTTTGTCTGGGGGCTGGCTTTGGAAGTGGAAGCCCCTGGATGACCCAGGCACCCATTATCCACAAGCGATACAGTTGTTAAATGCAGTTAAATGCAATTTAACTAAGTTAACAACAAAGAGCGCAGTTAGTGTGTTAGTTAGTATGGTCAGTGATTTCTGGCATACCAGCATGCGCATGGCGATAGTAGGTCAGCAGCTGTTAGGGTTTGAGCATGCGCAAACAACAGGCACACGCATTGTTCGGAAATCCTTGTAGGCTTGGGTGCTTATTATCGGAAAGTTTGTTTTTTTTGTTTTTATTTGTTATTTTTTTTTTTTACTTATTTATTTTTTTCCCACTGACCCAGTCAGTGTGACAGGTGCTTGGGCCTGGTGTGGGGGCTCATGGCTGGGTTGCAGGGAACTGCAAGCCATGAGAGTGGTATGTTTGTCTGGGGGCTTGCTTTGGAAGTGGAAGCCCCTGGATGACCCAGGCACCCATTATCCACAAGCGATACAGTTGTTAAAGCTATGTTGAATACCTGAATATTAGGTTATCTTTTTCATTTGAGCATACAGATAACATTTCTACACAATTAGTTTCTTTCCAAACAGAAACATGAGAAAATTGAGCTAAAAGGCTTACCTGATGTATGTTTAAAATGTTTTTCTCTTTATGGTGTTTTTCAGTACTTTGAGTAGAGAAGTGAATAACTTTTGGTTTTGTCACCGCAATTTGCCTTTGAAAATGTCGGCTGTCATTGTCTGTGTTAAAAACACCTCAGAAAATTCCTATTTTCTCACCTTCCCATCCTTGGTTTATATTGAAAATAAACTAGAAATACATGCATGCAGTAACCCCTCGCCAATATTTCCCATACATTAAACATGAAGTATTCAGAAATGACCAGCACTGAACGCAGGCTCGCGCTCAAGTGTTGCCATGACAACACAATATTCTTAAATTTTTATTTTCATATATTTTGTACAAAACTGCAAAATAGTTGACAGATTCGTACTTTTAACTATACAACAATAAATTTCCGAAATACATACTGTAGGTATATTATTTTGCATTTTGTGAGCTTTGATTTAATGTAAAATTTAACTTGAAATGCTTCGTAAAATGTTTTGAAATGTTCATTCAAGTAAACCTACATTTTGCCGATAAACTGTTTTTACTTAACAAAACATGATAAGTTTAATACAAATAAAATAAAATTGTTAGGTAATTTCAGTTCAGTTTTCAAATCAATTTGTTCGCCTTTACATTTTAAGATTTTTTTCTCAAATTAAACAGTAATTTATGAAACTTAGAGCTTCTATAGTTCATTTTTTTATTTAATACGTAAAAAGTTAAAGCAACAAAATTCGTAAACATTTTAAAAATATTCAAAGCAAACTTGCCGTATATTTCACAATTTCCCGTAGTAAACCAATTCTTCTCATTTCTTCAAACAAAATTGCTTCAAGCTTGTTGTATATGAAACGTTTTTGCAAATATATGTCTTTTAAAATTGAAATCTTGGTTGCCATATTTTTGAGATAAGTGAGGATGACCACCCACTCAAGATCGTCGTTCGTTGGTCAGCGCCCGCGATGATTGATGAACTTTAGATTTCGCTAATGCTTTCGTTTCCCTGGGTGTAAATAGCTGGGGGGATTAGTACCCTTGCACGGCGCTTCGCGCCGCCGGCTCGGGGATAAATTCTAGTACCATATGTCCTTTTAAATATATTTGAGGTAATTAAAAACTCCAAAGATGAACAAGCACCATTTTGGCTTGCACATTTTGTTCAATTTCAACACTTAGTTACTGTTCTAAATTTCATGTTGTAAATATCTTCCCCCAAAAAAGCAAGTGAGTATTTTTTATAATTTTTGATCATTTTCTAATTCATATCCCAAAATATGAAAATTGGTTATAATATAGATATGTACTAATTTGGTAAATGATTTTATTTTGGTTTTTATATAAATTTATGGAGATATTGCCCCTTTAGGTGATGAGTGACATGAAAAACAAAGTGTCACTGCTTTACAAATAAAAATTCTCATTGAAAAAACTAATGATATATGTAGGTATGCAAAGTCATTTAAACTAAATTTGGTGAATCATATATCACTAATGTTTGGTTGAAAAGATCAGATTTTTTTATGCAACTGTTTCTGAGATTTGAAAGGTGAAAGCTCTTGAATTCAATCACAAATTCGCCATATTGCTTGCGCCTTAGGTGGGTAGAAACATTGTAACAGCTTGCCACTTAACAAGTTAAACAGTTTGTTTTTTAGCCCAGGCTGGAATTATTTGTGGTTAGATGCTGCCATGCAGGCTCAAATTTCGGCCTAAGCAGCTAAAACTTGGCTGAATAATAATGTAATATCCTTGTAATATCCAACGTTTATCCTTAGGCCTGCATGGCTGAAACTTAGACCTGGTTGAAAACTCTCAGGGGCCATATTCATGCATGTTACCACCTATAACGTCAAATTGACCTTATATAAATGAGTGGGTGGGTTTTTATGTGAATTGATCGACTTTATCTCATGGGAATTTGGCAATTAATGTCCAAAGTAACAATCACAGTGCAGCTTTTGTATCATAAATATGCAAGTCAAAATACAACTGAATATCGATTATCTGTAGTGGTGGGTGCCATGCATGGGTGAAGTGATAACATCGATTCAATGTTATTTGTTGGCAACATGAACATTGTGACTTGGCCCCTAAGAGCTGTTAAACTCCCAAGAGCAGAAAAATGTGCTCTTGCGATAGATATTTCTTATTTAGTCAATATTCATAATAAACAGTGCTGTATGCAGTGTGCACGCCGTCAATATTTTTGCGGATCCTATAGGAATAGATTTCCTATAGGAATTTACTATAGGAATAGAATTCCTATAGGGATTTTCCTATAGGAATTTCCTTATAGGGATTTTCCTATAGGAATTTCCTATAGGAATTCGTATAGGATGTTATATAGAATACAGAATCCTATTGCTGCTATTATATGTTTTTACTCTGTTTTTTTATAGCAAAATACAAAACAAGTGTAACTAACCATTGGCAATTGTTCATTTTGACCAATTGTTTAATTAGTCACATTTGACCAATTAAATTTGGTTGCTTTGACTATTACTTAATTGGTCGAAAAAATTGATCATCTTTCGACCAATTTATAAAAGTTAAAGAGAAATGGCAATATATTTTTTTTTCATCTTTAAAATAAAGCTTACCTTAAAACTTACTAAAAATGAGTAAAAGTTTAATCTTTAAACAGTTGTGTCCATAGAAAATAGTGATTCGAGCAAATTAGCGTTCTTGTGAAATATGTTTGTGACGTCACAACCTGGGTTGTTGTTTTCGCCTAAATACAATGAAATATGGCAAGCAAAGAAAGCTTCGCGACAAATGAGGACAAAGATGAAAGTTTCGGCAGCAAAGAGCAGGTTATTGAACCGTACATGTTTGAGCCCAACAAGGGGGTACATGGCGAAGCTAGTGACGATTTGAGTGAAGATTCTGGGTCAGAAGAGGACGAGTTTGACGAAGAATTCGAATTGGCTAATGCTTGGCGTCGTACTACGCTTGAATGGTGTAAGTGTGGTAAATGTGCGATAATGGAGAAGACCATTGAAAGCTTCTGTTGCCACGAGAAAGCATTGGAGTACGACGAATACGACGACAAACTTACTAGCGCACAAAATCAAGAGTTTACTTGTATAACAAGCCTGTCTTCATTTGTGCAAAATATGCTATCAAAGGACGTGCTTGATGTCGATGTTTCACAATATTTGGAAGAAAATTGGCCTCTTGGAGATGATCAATTAGAACAGACACGAGATGGGTTTTTACCATTTTGGGCAAAAAGGTGCGCAGAGTTTTCCCTTCGTGTGTTTATACATGTATCTGCAAATAATTTTCTTCCCCGACTGGTTTATTCACTCACTTTAAGTTTGCTAAATGAATTCACATCAATCATGGTCATGGATGTATATATACATAATGGAATATTCCATGTTGAAGATGCTTGGTGGATTCAGTTATATACAATATTTACTTGTTTGAACACATATCTATTTTACATTGGCAATCTGATGTACATTTGTTTCCAAGTGCTTTACATGCACATCTAACAGTAGCACATTTGCCAGAACACATGCAGACGGACCCATTTTCAACTGGATAGGCTGGCTTCGAAAATCTGCTATACCGCCTGGCAACGACGGATGCCTTGGATTCTGCTTGATTACCACCCAGGTATTTCTCCACAAGTGACATTGGTTCTTTAGGTAGTACATGATTGGCGTGTTTTTGTGCTCTCTTTAGGGTGCGGTACTTTGCTTGCAATTTGAAACTTTCAAGCTGGACTGCCTCTATATATTCTAAATTAACAATAAAAGCATATGCATAATCAAGATAGATTGTTTTACTAGCCTGTGGGCTTTACAGATGTATTTTATCTCCAACAACCTATATCTACTGTTAGAACTGTACTACCATGTCCTGATAGAACATGATACACTCAAAGATAATTATATGTAAAATAGATGCATATAGGTTGGATGAATTGGCTAATACTACTGTATTTGCTGTTAAACTTACTGTATGTTGCTTCCTCTTTTATTTTTCTTGCAATAGATTTTTCCCCTTTGTGCGCCTTTGGGTAAATGACAACCCACCGGTCTTCTCCCTCTTTTGTTTTGGCTTGTTTCCTTTGTGAGTTTTCATTAAAATGCATATTTGAGCAAAATAACCTAAAAGTAATAGATGGTTAACCACTCATGATTTATTTACAGAGAACACACAAATTGGTAATATATAAACCTGGCCATCAAAGAATGATATGGGTAGTATATCTTTTTAGTAGCAAATTGGTTATCCAGTGCATGTTTTGCTTCCAGCGATGATGTTTGGTGGTAATCTGATAACTTCCGAATTGCCGTTATTAGTCTGGGTCGGGTTAAATTTTCTTCCAGTTTCTTGTACGCTGCAGAACCTAGTTGGAAATCAAAATTTAATTTTTTGAGTTGTATGAATGAGAGGAAATGTTTGCAGGCTCTATGCTCCCTCTGGCTCAGTCCCCCCCTGAATTTGTGGCATGCCTTCACAGCAAAATCTGAAAATCTGTCTATGCATGGCTCTCATACCTGGTTTTAGCCATTCTCTATCCAATACTTCATGGGTGCATACCCTAAAAAGTTCAAAATCTTTATGAATATGCACATTGACAATATGATTCAAAAGGCTCAACCACTTTTCCTCCTTTTCGTCTTCATGTTTGCTTGAACTGGCCACCCAGTAAATGTGATTTATGATAGACTAGACAAAAAGAAGTAAAATTTAATTTCAGCCAATCACTTACCCAAATTTAGCAAACACTACAAGACTAATGAGTATCTAAATTTAATAGCTGTACCCCAATCCAAGGCTTTATAGCTTGAAATTTCTTGGTTTTTGCAATTTTCAGCAACCTTTTCTTCTTGCCTATAGATGCAGACATGAAACAGTTACTAAGGTAAAAGCAGGGCTGCTGTAAATAAGAGCAAAAATGTGCCACACGAAAAGGGGCCCTAAAAGCAATGTGAGTTAAAAAATGACATAATAGGAAAATTTTTGACCATGGCCGGTATATGCAACTCTCGTATGACAGTGTCCCTAACTATTGGAAATATTTATGTACCAGTATATGAGCATCTACCTTTTGCTAAATGCCAGACATCATAAGTATGTTTGATATTTGGTCTTTCTTGAGCCATGTAGGCTGATACTTGTGTATGTCTATCTGTGACAAGCGTTTTGACTTCCACATTAGACTCTTCAAGGTGAGCAAGTTGTCTTTTAAGGGATTCCATTTCCATTCCATTTGAATTCTTAACTTCTGTGCTCTATAAATATAATGGCACATTTTGTTAGGTTTTTGTTAACATGTTAGTATATGTAGGTAGCATTTCATTACTTATAACTCATCAAATTACTTTGATTATTTGAGTGTCCAGAATGACATTTCTGTTGACATCAAGTGTACTTCCAGCACCAAGTAGTCCACAATGTCCTGGGCTATCCACTCGCATGTCTGATGCTATCTCAATTGATTTTCCTTTAAATCATCCAATAATTTATGCTGTTCTATTTTCCAAACACTTATTACAGCTAGGATAACATATGCACTTTGGATGTTTGACAACTGTCGCCTCTTGAAGCACAAAATGTTCAATGATTCCATAAATCTCATTGTTTTGTTAGATTCCATACCAGTGCTTAGGATACTAGCTGCCATAAGTATGTTAAAGGCAGGTAATCTATTCATAAGGGGTCCTGTTGACCATGATATATTATGCTGTACTGAAGATGAACATGAGATTAAGATCTTGCAGTAGCTTCCAATTATACTTGTGACCAACACAGAGCAGCGGCTTCCACATTTAAGGCACACACTAAAAGTTGTTGCAATAGACTCTTCACAAACTATAAATTTTAATTGGTCCTTGACAGACTTCTCACTGGTGAGAATTATTGGTTCATCCTGCTCCTTATCTTTTTCAGGACATCCTTCCATTTCACTTTCCTCTCCTGATGTCATACTATAGTCTTCAGTACAACTTTCTTCATCAAAACTTTCTTCACCGTCGGATTCATTTTCTGATTGCTCTAGGTCTGAATTCTTAGTACTTCTGCTAACTTCCAATGTGGCCTGTGTAATGCTCACACCTTCACTTGCTTTCCCACTTTCATCGCTATTGGTGTTTTCGTCTTTGTCCATAACCATGTTGACTGGATCAGTTTGTGAACAGGTTGAGACCATCTTGGGCTTTGACAAATAATTTGACAAGTCACTGGTGATGCAGGTTTGTGTTCCTTTTGTGACCTTGGTTTTGGTACTTTCTTTTGTTTGTGTACCTTGACTTCTCCCAAAATATTCCACTGGCAAAGTTTGAACATGGATTGAGTTTGAGGGTCTGGCGACATTGCATGGTAACCTCCTGTTCCCATGTTTCAGTACCAGATGTGGCTTATGCAATTTCTGTGGCATTTGTCGCTTCAACAGATATTTTTGCTTGAGATATCAAGTGATCAAACTCCTTAAAAAACAAATAAAACTAAGTATGTGCATTTGCATTACATGTGGTTTCTTATTCGGAGATGGGGTGGGAGGGCGGAAAGCACCCTCCCCCCAGCCTTGGCCAAGACGGGGTGCCAATTTCCCTATCATATTAATTGTTTTGAATTATATACCCATGTTGCCACAACCTCGTACCCAGGGAGCGCAGAAGCCCTGGGTACGAGGTTGATGTTGCCATGCCTCTGTTGTTCATGATTATTAATATTCAGCATTTTTTTTGGCCCTGAGCTTTCTGATTAGCTGCCCCCCCCCCCCCAAAGTTAATAGCAGCTAATCACTTGGACCTTGCTGGGGGCTGTTAATACTGGCTTAGTCAACACCCTCCTTATTGCCAGCCTTCACTCAGCCCACTCCCCCTCCATACTACATCAAGTTGTATCCATAAGCAATGGGGTCCTGAGAGGGGGGGGGTGTTCTAATCCCAGTTCTCCTATTCTTTTATTGCTTTTTGTTGATGGTGAATCCCAGTCTCAGTGGATGAAATCCCCATTTCCCAGCCCAAAAACAGGCGAATACCAGCATCCACTTTACCCCTTTTAATAGGACCCTCTATCATAATTTATACATAATACACTTACTTTTCTCCTCGACAGAATTCCTGTCTGTCTCTTCTTGGTTTCTGAAGGCTTGTCTGATTTAGCTGCATCAAGTGCTTTATTTATAGTCGGTACAGCGTTGGATTTACGCAATAATTTGCGTTTTCCATAAAAGTTTATTGACTCCAAAAAGCAAGGAGAATGTGAGGGTATATATGCATCTTGGCTAAAATGTAATGAACACAAACACGTGCATTTTGACGGAACGAAGCTTTTTTTCTCTTGCAAAATTCAATCCAGATGTTGCGTCGTTTTTGTTCTTCCTCATTAATCGGCTTTGGGAATGCGAAAAAGTGCGTCTTTTCAGTATTCTTTTTGCTATCGCTTGTGTACGCGTAAACGGGACAGTACATCGTGAAAGAATTGCCGGCAAAATATTTACATTTCGCGCTATAACCTTCAACCCAGGTTGTGACGTCAGACATGTTAAATCTGCATAAATTAGCATACAAGAATTCATTTCAAGATGGCGGACGAAGCACAATATTTGGGTATAAACAATCACTATTTTCTACGGACGCAACTGTTTAAAGATTAAACTTTTACTCATTTCTAGTAAGTTTTAAGGTAAGCTTTATTTTAAAGATGAAAAAAATATATTGCCATTTCCCTTTAATATAACCAACTTTTTATTGGTCATTTTTAATAGTTGAGTGTGCACTGTTAATTTTCGAGGAGTTATTTTAGCTCCACTGAAAATTAAAAATTGGGAGTGAAAATTTTGGAGTTAAATTTACTCCAAAAATGAAGTTAAAACTACACTTTAGTCTTTGATATGTATTCGAACATATACTCCACAGAGGGCCAATTTAACTCCACTTAAAGGAGTAAAATATAACAGAGTAAAGTTTACTCATAAACGTAATTTACTCATAAATAATATTAACCAGATTCCTGGGTAAATGAAATTAACCAGATGGATTTAACCAGGATTTATGGTTATATATCTAACACTTTTCCTGGTTAATATAAACCAGGTTTTAACCAGAGCTCCAAGTTAAAAATCCACTTAACATAGTCTGGTTAATTTAACCAGGACACTCTGGTTAAATAACATCTACCAGATTCCTGGTTGGTCTTCAAAACCTTTAAAAAAGAAAATACTTTTAACAGTTTTAATTGACAACAGCATTTATAAAAATATTTTGAAATACAATAATTTCTTAACATTTATAAATACAAATTGATAGAAATAACAATAATTTCATAAATTTAGCTAACTATTAAATGCATGTCGCATGTGTCAAAAATATAAACAAGAGGTTCACAAATGTGCATATTTCTCAAGTTTGACCAAGATCTCCTCCCAAAATGATATGCGGTTTGAGACTATAGTATATTAAGAATGTACTGTAATGAATAAAATCAACTAAAACGTGTCTCAATCACCAAACTCTATGGAATCATAAATGGTTTTAAAACTTAAAGTCAAATTATTTGAATTATTCAATGAAAAAGTGCATGTAGCCATCCAGAAAATTAATTTTTAATTTACATGCTTATGCATGCGCCAGCACGGTTCACACAAGGGAAACTCAAAACAACATTAAAAACTCTTTCTTTTGACTTTTGTCAGTAAATTAACTAACATGATCTTAACTCATTAGCGGGCAATAATACGCCCACAAAATTCTGTCCAACACCAGACAATTTTACTCGTAAGTTGTATATAGATCGAGCTAGTGGTCAATAGAAAATAACAGTTGTGAATAAACATGCAATTTCCTATGCAGACTATACAAACTCCTAGGGCCCTATAAAAATAACAGCACTTGATTTGATATTTGTTTAAGTGTGACATAATCTACAGTCTTGGGGGACTTGTATCAATCCAATTGCCAAAGGTATAATAACACACAGTTATAGTGATTTCTAAAGGGGTACTTTTTGGGAACACACTGCACAGTAATTTTGTAACACATTAAACCTAAATTTTCCTTAAACCAGCGTGCATGGCGATAACAGCTGGAGAGGTTTTGTGGGGAACTTTGTCATCAAGCTGGTATACAATTTTTTGGATCAGCTCCCCACGTTATAGCCCATTGCCAGGGATACTCGGTATCCATAACGTAAAAAAGCTTGAAACAAGTGTCCAATGCCTTGAAAACACTTGGTTTCTCCAATGCCCTACTATTTACGACAACAAATATTTGCTGTGGCTTGATCCTCTCGCCCAAGAGCAACAAAATATGAGGGATTCCTCCAAATACTTCGGAAGATTAGTACCAACCTACACAAAAATAAGGGAAAATTACTGTAACATAAACTACACAATGTAGTTTTACAATTGTAGTAGAATTAATGAACAGGTCTGTAAAATGAAATTGCATGAAATATGAGCCAATGCATTACACCTACAAATATTATGTCTCACACAGACAAAAATGCCAGACTTTACACTTGTAAACTAGTGCACACAATATGTCTCTCTTAGGAACTTATGTCTGTTTTCTGTGCAAGAGATAAAATCTGTATTATCCAGAGGCCATCAAGCAGCTAACATATGCATACAACTAGAGATCCCAGCTACCTTTTTAAAACATGAGATTGCTGGACCACATAAATATCCTGAAATTTTTACAGTAACAAATTTGTAACAATATACCCAACTTGATCATGCAAAGAATTCAAATTGAGAGCCAATGTATATATTAACCCATTGAGTCGCATTGCACCCTGATGCGCCCTACTTTAGTATTTTACTCTGTCTAATGCCAGACGATTTTACTCGTCAGGGGGAGAGCGCTGGCGCTTATTGGCTTAACTGGCCTATCTGCCCATGTGTCTAGTTAACCCATTGAGTTGCATTGCACCCGATGTGCCCTACTTTAGTATTTTACTCTGTCTAACGCCAGACAATTTTACTCTGTCTAACGCCAGACGATTTTACTCTGTCTAACGCCAGACGATTTTACTCTGTCTAACGCCAGACAACTTTACTCGTCAAGGGGAGAGCGCTCGCACTTAATGGGTTAAAATATATTAAAAAAGAGTAAAATGGCTAACTTTACTTACAGGTTTTACATTAATGAAAGCCTTTATGGCATCGTCCACACTGGATCTCTTCTTGCTCTGCTGCCTGCCTGGTGGCAAGATGGCTGGTAGCAGACAAAGTGATACAATCATCTTGCATTCATCTAAGAAATATATGTGTAAATATTACAATGAAAGCTAAAATGAATTTAAGGTAATAGGAATGAGAAATGAAATCATTCGAAACATTAATTTCATTTGAAATGTAAATGTAAAATACAAAAACAAATCAAAAGACAAAACTAAAATGCCAATAGCCATATAGTATTTATATGTACTGTCGATGCAATCCTCAAGTTGATCAATTCATACGAATTCAAATTTCTTTGTACTTCCTGTGCGTCTCCTATTGGTCAATCGGTCCTGAAACAAAATCTAATTGGCTCATCTAAAAGTAACAGGAAGTTGATAAATTTTCTATCAAATGAATTGATCAACTTGAGGAAAGGTATTTGTGCAATATTTTATCAACACTTCCATAAGTTCCATTGCATCGACCGTAAATATTAGTATACACTGTAAAAACATAGCCTGTGTGGCAGGCCAATATGGGCAGGTTCAATGGGCCATTTGAACACACCGGAGTCAATTTTCATATCATGATCAATATGTAAATATTCTTTCCAATTTCCTTGCCTGTTGGCATACTTGATAACCTTCTCTGAGAAAGACGGAGTCCACTTCAAGAACGGATTGTCTTTCACATCCTTGAAGAGTAAGTCAAAATCCATTTCAATCTGGAAAAGTGGGGAAAAAAACAGGCATCTATTTTAACTGATGTCATATATTAAATTGTGCCTTTATCATGTCCAGTACTCAGTAGTCCAGTATCTTGTAGGCTTGTACATATTTTCAAGGGGAAATCCTAAATCTCTGACAGGGAGAGTAAAATTTTAAATTGGGGTAAATATAATATATCTGAATGTCAAATATGAATTTTTTCTGTGTTGGTGTAGTGTACTCAGGTGAATATGATATTTGTGGTGTTACTCTGTAAAAAACATTGGTATTGAAGGAACTAGATTCTGTTCCGAAATATCACTTACTCGAATCGTCCTGACCGTGTAGCTCAGTTGGAAGAGCATTGGGCTAGTATTCCAAAGGTCATAAGTTCGAATCCCGCCGTGGCTGGGCATATTTTTCAAGCTCGCCCGGTGTGGATATACGCTCAGAGTAACACCACAAATATCATGTGAAATATTGTTTTCAAAATTCAAATTGCTTTCATGAAATACTTACCATACCACGTGTATAGAACAACCTTGGGTGTTCCTTTATGATTGTCTCAACTGTGATCTCATTATCCCCCTAACCCAAGCAGCACGTTTTATTGATGTCTTTTCCATATAATTTTGTACTGTTTCAACTGGCTCAACATGGTGTTTCAGCCACTCCACAATCCCCTCGTAATCATCATCTGGCAAAGTGCATGTTGTAAAGTAAAGAGACATATTAGTGATTTACTTATCAGGTTTAATTTATTGGGATATATCTATATACATATGCTGATTAAGCTTTACCAGGCAATGCAGATATCTTCACAAGCTTTGATGCTTCTACCACTGGTTCAATGCATTTTTGTTTTCTCTGATTTAGCTTTCTCTGTACGTTCCTTTAACCGTTCTTCCAACCAACCAGTTGCAGAATGGACGCATTTCCCAGGAGTATACCATGCTTCCTGTGAAAGGATGTTACATTTTTTATATTAATTACAGCAAGGTGAAGTTATTAGCAATATTAATTTTATACTTTAGAGTACAGTATAATTTTATATTGTGCTCTACTAATGAAATAATACAGTATATACAATAATTTCTGTATTTATATAGTCCCCCTCTCTCTTTTAAGCCTTGCTATAATAAACTAATAAACAAAATTACCTCCTATAGACCTTATTCATTGTGTCGACTACTCGACTTTAATGGCTTGTTTCTTGTTGCTTTTTTGCGATTTATAACGATTTTTGTGTGTATCTTAAGACTTTGTGCCCACAACGAAAGCGGTAAACGAGTATATTATAAAAGCGACCGGTTTTTCTCCCGTTTTTGTGTGGAAAAAATGACAACGTAGCGATGGTGTTTATCCAGAAGCAAAAAAAACCCAGTATTTTACTGATATTTTAAGGTCAATATAAAGGTTATTCTGTGAAAAATCAATATAACTATGGAATGAAAGTATAATTTTTCGAATTTGACATTAACATGAAAGAAAACAACAGGTCAAAAATCACAAGAGAACTTCAAATGTTATTGATTCGTACGGAAAAATATGAACTGTGGCTGTGGCTCGATAACATTCTGCAAGCAGCTTACAAGTTTAAAAAATGAAGGCTACATTACCTCGGAGTGAGTTGTAATCCTATTTCTTCAACAATAGTTCCATATTTCGTACGATTTTGGTGTTGTATAGACGTTTTGTAGCCTTGTTGGGTGTTTGTTTTGGCCATACAAACTTGGCAATAATACAAAGTCAAAGGTTTCCTTTTTCGATTGACTCCAGCATCTTTTACTTTAAATATCATGTTTTATTTTCTCAGAAGTATTTTTTTCAACTTTCAAGCTCATTTTTACAGATATTATTTTCGAAAAAAGCCGTAATATTCACGGAAAAAGCTGCCATAGCCGACAGCAAAAAAAAATTTGTTAATTTTCCCGCGTTTTTCCCCGTTTCCTAGGATATGAGGCCTCGTCACGATTTATGAATAAGGTCTATAACTTAAGCCTCCCCCGATGCAAATAATGACAAACCCATTAAGCTGAGCTTCCCCATTGACGAGTAAAAGCCTGGTATTAGACAAGTAAAAAATATAAGTAGGGCACATTGCATGGATTAAAATCATGAATGATATCATATTTCTGTAGTTTAAAATTAAAAAAATAAAATAAGATATAGTTTAAACAATATAGGGTACAAATTTCTTTTTTCTGTGTTGGTGTAGTATACTCAGGTGAATATGATATTTGTGGTGTTACTCTGAGTCTATATCCACACCGGGCGAGCTTGAAAAATATGCCCGGCCACGGTGGGATTCGAACCTACGACCTTTGGAATACTAGCCCAATGCTCTTCCAACTGAGCTACGCAGTCAGGACGGTTCGAGTAAGTGATATTTCGGAACAGAATCTAGTTCCTTCAATACCAATGTATTCTAGCAATATGAATTTCTTTTTTCTGTGTTGGTGTAGTGTACTCAGGTGAATATGATATTTGTGGTGTTACTCTGAGTCTATATCCACACCGGGCGAGCTTGAAAAATATGCCCGGCCACGGTGGGATTCGAACCTACGACCGTTGGAATACTAGCCCAATGCTCTTCCAACTGAGCTACGCGGTCAGGACGGTTCGAAAGGTTATTCCAAAGGTCGTAGGTTCGAATCCCACCGTGGCCGGGCATATTTTTCAAGCTCGCCCGGTGTGGATATAGACTCAGAGTAACACCACAAATATAATATAGGGTACAGTCTCTCTGAATATGGACATTTTGAATATGTGCTTATTATTAACAAGACGCCTGCTCAGGCGTTCACACTGGCCTGAAAATAACGAGATATGGCTATGGTGCAAAAGGCAGGAATACAAATCTTAAACCACAAGCAAATTTTATGGCCTTTTTCAAAAAATAAAAGACCTTTTCAGGAGACGTAATGGACTAATGGTGAAAATCTATAACTAGGAGTTACTATCGCAAGGAAAGTGCTGCCTTTTTGGCGTATTAACTGAATGCAAAAATTTATACTTCTAGACAATTCTCGGTTATACGGCCCAATGTTTCCTTCTCGTTCATCATTTAAGCCTGTTCATAAACTCATTCTTAAATTGTGTGCACGGAATACGTCGAGTAAATAGTCAACATGAAAATGAAGCCATTTGGTCAAAAGCAGATATCAAGGTATATTAACCTATTAGCTGCCAATGCACACTACTTTAGTATTAACTCTGACTAACGCCAGACGATTTTACTTGTTAGTGGCAGAGAACTGACAGTAAATGGGTTAACAAACACATCTGCCAATGTCTCTTATTAACCCATTAACAGACAATGCACCCTGCTTTAGTATTCTTTAGTAACTCTTCAGAATTTGCTCAGAGTTAATGTGAGTAAAATACATCTTGTATTCAAGCGCTTTCATGTACAAAGTTTCGCTTGAATACGGCACAGAGTAGGAATATTTATTTTGAATTTTTCAAAATATCAGGTTTTTAATTGCACACACTTTTATACCTCGATCGATGCACATGCAAATCATGCCGACCTACAGAATCGATTTCCGCTTTTTCCTAACAGCGTGTTGTTTTGATGTATGTTCCATGGGCCGCGCTAAAAATATAAATATTCTGTAAATAAATACCGAAATAAAAGATGAAAACCAGATGAGAAAATAACACTATAAATAGTGTTTTCGATTCTGGTTCCAATAATATTATTACGAAAAAGATATGTCCAAAGGGGCCGAAGTTATGTTCGGCAAAATATATGGCTAGTGTACATTGTTATATTATGAAATATGATGCCATACTTGTATTAAAATTCGCGTCGAACTAATGTTATTGTATTAGGCAAATGAGTAAACTTGCCCCACAAGTCGACCTCAAACGAAATGCGCTTCTTCGAGGTCGACTTGTGGCAAGTCTAGCAAATGAGAACCATACAATAATGGTTCTACAATCTTTGACAATATAGATTGGGACAATCTAGTTTTCACATGCTTTCGGTTGTAATATACCATTTCCTGATACATATTTTCCACCCTCCCTCCCGCCACCAGTTTCAATGTTGGTGCCGTGTATCCAGACATCAGATTTTTGTTGGCTGCCCAACATTGAACTGGGGGAACGGGGAGGGCTATTCCTTTCAAATTATATGAAATTACAGCAGCTGTCCCATAGTTTCTGGCAGAGATTATAGTTCTTGTTGGTGGCAAGCGCTACGCGAATTCTCTTAATTCTAGCACTTCGCGGATTTTAATACATGTATTTAAAGGTATATTGTCGACATTTGACTAAAATTATCGTAAGGAATTAGGAGAGTTTGTCCTTGTTTATATTCCAATATATTGTATAAATTCGCTGCCTCACTGGGTACAAATTTATGAAATTTTGGGGTTTTCAAGTCGTTTAATTTAATACAAAAAGAAAAACATTAATTCAACAGGCAAGAAACTAAGAAAGCCCAGAGTGTGACGCAAGAATTAACACAAGTACACAACAGATGTTATGAGTCCACGACATATATTTATAGTTGTTTATTCAAAAGTCAAACTGTCAAACCTTTAACTTGTCTTTGTTTAAATATCCTTCTATATATTGTATAAATTCGCTGGGTCCAAATTTTGTGGTTTTCGAGTCGTTACTGAAAGAAAAACACATTAATTCAACACGCAAGAAAGTCCAGAGTACGACAATGTAAAATCCATAAGAAACCAACGGCACAATTCTTTGAAAATTCAACGAGACTGTGTAAAATATAGTTTGATCACTCTGTGAAAAGCCGCCATTGGAGTTCGGAATTGTGCGCTTGCGTACAAGTGTATGGGCTAATAAACGAAAAATGTACCACAAGCATGGCATGAGTCGGCTATTACGTACATATATACAAGCTTATTACTATACTATCTAAATCATGGAACCGAGGGAATCGATGGCATTTTGGCTTAATCGTTGCACCTTGAGCCTGCGATGAGCTAACGCAAACTCGATTTCTCGACTATGAAAAAAAAACAGAAAAAGGGGGATTTAAGACACTTGGCCTACAGGCCAGTGTAATTAATTAAAGGACATATTAAATTATTAAGCACCTCAATGACACTCATGGGAAAATAAGCCCCCTCCCCAAGAGGCTTAATACAGAAATTATGGTATGCTTCACTATATATATGAAATTTTATATATATTTTAAATTTTACTACTTACAAACCTTTAACTGGCTGCCATTTACCAGGCAGTCACAAATTAAATGGAATACATTAGTTTACAAGCGTGTAAATACGAATGTATATACACCCAATTATATTGATAGACTTTTATTACGGAATTCAGATATTCACCAAAGAGAAACCCGATACTCAAATACAAACTTGGCGTGTCCTAGATTTAACAGAAAAACTGAAGGTGGTCGTACTTTTACGGCTAGATGCTCTATTGAGTGGAATAGCATTGATATGGACATTAGAAAAAAGACCTCAGTTGGCTAGTTTTAAGTACAATTTATATGTCATATTTAGGTAAACAGAAAGGCACCATAATCATGAGTCTGTAACTATTTTAAAATCTCTTAACTAAATTTGTATATAGTATATTTTACATTCTAAATTTTTCAACTTAGTGAGGGCCACAAAGTCATCAGTGTTAATTTACTGCTGTAAAGTGTTAGCCTTGTTAAATAAAACCTATAATAATAATAAAAAAAGGGTCCTGTACCAGGATGTTTGGGGATGACAGAAAATTGGGAATGAAAGAAAATTGGGGATGACAGAAAAATAAACTATGTGATTTAGCAGGGTGCAGGATTTCTGATAAAAAGTGTATATCAACAAATTGATGACATGTAATATTACAATTTTGGTTATTTCTGTGCCCTCAAACTGATAAAAAGCACGAAAAGCATAAAATCAAAGAAATTAGCATTAACCCATTGAGTGGCAGCACTTTCCATTTGACAAGAAATATATATAGACAGGGTAAAATACTCTGGCGTCAGACAGCTCGTAAAATATGAAAGTATTTGACAAGTAACATTGACACTTGACGAGTAACATTGTCTGGCGTTAGACAGAGTAAAATACTCTGGTGTTAGACAGAATAAAATACTAATAAAAGTAGGTCCCATCAGGGTGTATTGCCACGTAAAGGGTTAAACATGGATAACGGTTGGATTTTAACGATTTCTTGGAAGCCAGGGACCGGGTTAATATGTTTGTTAATGATGATGTCAAACACGACAAAACTAATTTAATTGCAAGATGTTATATGAAATTTGTTTGCCTCGATTTTCAACAATGCTAGTTGACTTGCTGAGCCAATCAAATTTTTGGAAACGTCTCACATTAATATACATAGTTTAATTAATTCTCTGCTTAATATAAGAAAATTCTACTCCACAGATATTTGCTCATGGGCACAGCTCATGGGCAGAGTAAAATAACAAAATAGAATGTGTCAAGCTATAGCTGTTTTAAAAGGTTTACTGGAATTAGATGCATGTAGGACCGAGCATAATCAATGACAGATGTCCAGCATATATAACACATATTATACTTACATAGCTGTGATTGGATGTGCCAGATATTTCTGTCCAATCTGTCTCACCAGATAAACTGATAGTGGCTACCTAGTATGATCAAATGCATCCGGCTTTGCTTCTTGGGGGGTAAAAGATTTTGGCATATTCATGTACTCTATACTCTATATAGGCAATAACACATATATGCATCGATGAATCCTGTGACGTATTGTCACATACTGAAGACAATCTTCTTCTTTATAGGATTTTGGTGCATGGTAGGTCTGGTGGTCATATAAGTGCTGTATTGGAATAAGAGACAGCTGTGCATCAGCGGTTGGTTGTACAGCGTATGTACGAGTATGTCGATCATATTTCACAGTGTCCCAGAGTTCTGTTACTAGGTTGACATCAGTTCCCTCACAAACAACACACAATTCTCTGGAATATGGAAAGGGAATGTTCTGACTTTCCAGTGAGAACAAGATAGTTCTTGCAATACTTGACACCATTTACGACACACCAATTAGCAAGATAAACATCACTAAATAGATGAACGCAAAGTAATGTGCTTATAGACTCCTCTTCTTTATTAGTACATGAGGTGATGTTTTCTTGGTTATTTTTATGTGGGCATATGTATTGATATGGGCAACTACCTCCTGAAGCATTTCCTTAGTGAAAAAGAGCTGAAAGAACTCAAGCTCACAGTTCATGCTTCTGATGAAAGCTTGGTCAAAATGGATCCCGACATGTCGGTGAGGGGCAAAATCTGGGAGAATATTCCTAGTGTCAGGATCATCAAATCCCCTCATGCACTATATGGGACCTAATGGGGTGCTAGACAGGGAGCTTTCACCTTGGGTCCTAGTGGGCTTCCCTCTACCCATCCCCCTACCTTTCCCTCTACCTTTAGACCTTTTCCTTTCCAGTTTATCAAGAACCCCAGGAATTCTAATACAGGGGAAGGCGTCAAGACCGACTTCTCGAAGTTGATTATAAATCCTAGGGATTGCAACAAGTCTATTACCAGAGTTGTCTGATCCCTTAGCATTTCTATCAATGACCCTATGATCAGTATGTCGCCTAGATAAGTGAGCAGTCTGATATTTTGAGTGCGAAGAAACGCTATCACAGGTTTTAACAGCTTCGTAAATATTCTTGGCGCTATGTTTAGTCCGAATGGTAGGGCTCCGAACTGATAAATTTGTCCTTGCCAAATGAACTGAAGGAACTGTTGCGAGTGTGGGTGAACACCCACTGTTAGATAGGCATCCTTCAGGTCTAATTTTACCATATAATCGTTTGGATTTAAGAGGTGTTTCAAGCACATTAAATTTTCCCTTTGGAAATGTTTATTCGTTATAAATTTGTTTGGGTGACGTAAGTCAATGACTGGGCGAAATGAGCCACCTTTCTTGGGCACAAGGAATAGACGGCTGTAAAACCCCACGGATGTCGGCTGGACAGGGGCAATGGCTCCCTTTTGTACAAGTTTGTCTATTTCTTGTTGCATTAAAGTCACATTTTCCCCTGTAGTCGAGGTTTTTGGCACATGCTTTTGCCAAGGTTTTGTGTGAAAATCTATTTGATACCCGCAAACTATAGCTATGATAACTGGGTCTTTTGTAATCTTTTGCCATTGAGAAAGGAACAGTGGTAGTCTTGCAGTAGGGTTGTTTATTGGCGGGACCAGCTGTTCCTTTGCTGGCCCCACTGGTTTCAAAAAATCGAATTGCTGTTTTGCCCAGGGCTGGAGCCTCTTTGCCCAGATGTGCCACGAAAGGGCTGTTTAAGTTGAACCTGTGGGTAACTATATCTTTGTGGTGTGTTATGCACTTGTTTTGGGTTTTGTCTAGACTTTTGTGGGCTATATTGTGGTTTCTGCAGATTTTTTGAGAGACTACGTGGCAGTTCTGACTGCTTGGCCGCCAAAGGCAGTAGATCGCCCCCAAAAAGCATTTTTCCCATGCTGGGAAACTCGTTGTCTGCCAACTGGATTTTGTCTGGGTTAATAACGCCCAAAATTTTCTTTCTACGAGTTATCGTAGTAATGTGGTTGGCTGAGCCTAGCAGGCATAAAGATTGTTGTAGAATAGTCAACAATTCCTCATTTGAAACATGTTCTTTTCGTTCAAGACGGTCATGCAAACAACAAAGGGGTGAGGCCGAATTTAGTAAGGTGCGTTGAATAAGACTTAAGACTTTGTCTCGATTTTCAACCCCTTTGCGGCGGCCGTTTGGCACAGAATTTAGAATTTGTTTGTCTAGACAAGGTGCAACACATGCATCTGTCTCAGGTAGGGAGTTTTCCCCAATAATTTCATTCACCTGATCGACTGTCAGGGGTCGTTTTAGGTTCTTTTCCAAAAACGCACAAAGAGCTCGGAAGGAGACCATTTTTTAATTCTTCGACCCAGTATCCTCTGGGTTGAAGAATTTGCAAGACTGTTCAGGGACCTGGTTGTCAGGTCTTTCTTTGGACACATTACTGTGACCGTAATCCGACCTAACATCGGCTAAAGGTCGCTCAGAGCCAGCTAAAGGTGCCTCAATGGCATTTATATTGCCTTGTGACAGTTGATCAACTTTGTCAAAAGTCGAAGGTGAAGTCGGCGGGTGAACTGATAAACAATCTTCATCGGTATTCGCTTGAAGAACAGATGAGTTTTGATTCAACTGATTCTCGATGGCACTAACTTGTGTGGTCCAAGCGACAAATTCTTTCTTTATATCGTCCATACTTGTAAGGACTTTTGTCAATGTTTCATTTACGCTCGAGTTATTTTCCCCTCGATTTTCCAGCTTTCGATGCAGTTTATGTCGATCTTCTCGCCTAGACTCTTCAGGAGAAGCGGTACGATGACGTTTTCGACCAGACATGCTTGTGAATTAAACAAAAAGTGAGTGAAACTGCAAAAATTTCAAGCTAAAAAACAAGAGAAACTTACCTGAGCGCTTACACATGAGCAAGCACAAAGAAAAAAGCCGATGAGACACTAGGTTTCGGCGGTATTATTGGTTCACAGTGATCACGGGACCGGATGTGTTTTTTACTTTATTTCCAGTTCCGGAGCGTTTAAGCGTGGGCAAGAGCCAAGATATAGCAAGCCATACTATTTGTTTTCCCATATATTTCGACCGAAGTTTGTGAAGTATAATCTTATGATAAAATATATATTTTTGATTCCGAGATTGATGCCTGAAAAGCAGATTCGGTGACAACGAGCTAGCTCACTTTAGGTGGGATCCTATCTTTGTTAATATTTCCTACTAAATTTCATGTTTGTTTATATGAGAACTGAGCTGGCCCGCCTAACTGAGGTCCTGGTTTGTGTGACCTGAGACCTCGGGTAAACGGGCTGGGTAGTTTTCCATATAAATGCAACAGGGAAGGCTAGCCCTCCTACTAGGGCTGGAAATTTTATAAATACGCATGCACAAATAATTAGAATAATTCAGAATGCACAAACAACTCCCATATAAGGAACCAACTTCCATATATGGAGTTGTTTACGCAAAAAAAAATTAGAATAAGAACTAGCCCTTCATGTAAGTTTCGCATGGTGAAATTCATCTCGGGGGATGTGAGCCAGCTCAGGTAACTAACCGGTGGCTCGCTTCTGGCTGGTTCGCTTCCATATTAACAGCTCCTTAGTGGGCTTGCCCTGGCTCAAATGGACAACCAGGCTAGCATGGCCTGCTAGGCTGGAAATCGTGTTACTTTGCATGCTGTCTTGCACTGATAAGCATTCTAAAAACATAAGAGATTATTATTAAATCTCTTGTAGTTGTTGCCATTGACAAAAATACAATCCTACCGACGGCCAGTGGGGGCCAACGCAGCTTGTTGGCCCAATCATAGTCAGGGCCTGCACAAATTAGTGAACACAGACACCTGGTTCCCTTTGACTCTCACACCAATGGCCATACCAAAGTCCATTTTTAAAATCATAGATTTTCGGGGCCCTATGAGCACTCCGGGTGCCCCCTCTTCTCACCGGCTGTGACTTGCTGATTAAACACAAAATTTTATTTTCCTACTAATTGCTTGAAATAAATTATCAGATATACCAAGCAAAACTCTTCCAACCTTTGCTGTTAATTATTAGCAAACTCAAAACAATATCAATGTAAACATCTCTATAAAATAGTGCTTTATTTTTACATTATGTTTTAAATAGTCGTCTGTGCTAAATGGTTCATTTGCACTAAATAGATACTGTACCTAGCTGATATTCATTGTTAATTTGCCAGTCAGACACAAGTTTGGCCAGACTTATAATATTGGTCGGGCAAAACAAGCTCACACCCCCCAACCATAATCTCAAGTTTATACCCCTGGATTAATGCATTAACCACCAAACCAATACCCTACCACTGACAATTAAATTTGTCTCATGTTAGACAGAGGAAATATTAAAGTGGGGCACATTTGGATGCATTGCCTGTTAAAAGGTTAACAATCAAATACAAGGCTGGCAAGAGGGGGGCAGGTGGGGCAAAATACCGGGGGCCCAGAGTACTCAGAGGGCCCCGGAATCATCAGTAAAATGTTTGTATGTCCTAAATGAAATACGCCTACTTGCACACTATCCAAGAAGTGTCGAGAATTAGCAAAAAACAGCCTGTTAAACTAATTTGATAACCATTACCATTTTATTGTAAATATTCGTTTCAATGAAATGAAGTTTAAATTAAAAAATTACATAGATATTTTTCAATTAGGAATATTGGAAAAAACAGTTGTTATGTACCAGTATTTAAACACCCTTTACCCGTGAGAATAGTTGTATTGGATGCAGAAGTTACTTCAATTGCATGCTAAGCCTTACATTAAACAAGTAAAAGCATTTGAATTTTCTATTTCTTGCTTTGTGGGGACGAGGATGACGTATACTTTATCAGTATACTAACCAAAATAGGAAATTCATTGT